CCCTGTCCCAATTCCCAAATTAATCTTGAGTTAGGTAAAAAATAACAAGCAAGCTCAGCACTGGTCCTGTTTACCAAATCATCTTCCAGCCAAACTGGTTGAATTAATTATATCTTTTCTCTTAGTCTAGTTGAGGATGTCGTGTGTCCTTAGACTTCCAAACAAAACATGTCCACTCTTTCTGTGGTCTCCATTATAGCTGGAGTACCATTTCCAGGCCTCATTTACAGCATTCTCTTCTGGAACTTTCATTTGGCTGCCACACAGAAAGTCCTATGTTTCCTGCCAGCTGTCCTCTGGGTTCTCAAGTACCCCAGGTTCACCTACTAGAGAAAAGAATTTCAAAATGCCAGTGGCCCAAGCAGCTCTACCTGCCTCTCTGCCCTGATTCCCAGAGTAAGGTTTCAGCCATTAAGAACTGTTCTCTCTGAAACAGAGCCTTCAACACAATGGTCTATCTGGTTGATCACCACTGGCCATGAAGCTTAGCCCCAGTGCCTGTCCCATCTTAGGGGATGGTTTCAAGTCTAGCTCCTTCCTTTTAGTCAAGAATTGAGGAATCATGAAGTGTTCTCTGACTCCATATGTTTGTATTAAGCTTCTTCATAATGATTTATTTGAGTTTTGATGTATTTGGTTTTGGCTGAACTCACATCTCCCTCTCCTGCTCCCTCTCCCTATGCCCTTGCAAGGAACAAGAACTACAAAATGGAGCCTTTTGTAAGGCTGTTGCACTCAGGAGCTTTCTTGAAGTGCTCTGAAATTTCTGGCAGAAATAAAACTCTTTTTAAAAATAGTTACAGCTTATGTTCCTCATAAATCCCCTTCTTCTGTGCCCTGAGAAATAGTTAATCAACTCTTACTTAGCTTGGAGTTCACCCAGATGCTCCCTAAGGGTTCTCTGTAGCCCCACTCTCAGAGGTGAAGCCACCACTGGATCCTAGCAGGGTGCCTAAACTCAATAATCTGATAAGAGATAAGGCAACAAAGCTTCATAAGCATTGTGTTTTCTTCCAACAGGGCACAAGGAAGATATTAAACCGAGTTCCCCCAAACAATCCCAAAAATCTACTTTTCCCAAAGTAAAGATAATGATAATCAGGATCTGTGGACTCTATAATGTGTCTTTATTTTGGTTTAAACTAATGACATTAGATTCTCTTCAACCTGGCAAAGAAGAGGTAGGTATACATTAAACAAAAAAAAAAGAAAAAAATGGACCTAAAATCATGTGGGAACTAGATCATCATCACCATTATTCGAAAAAGAAAGGTTGTGGAATATTTCTGCAATTTCTTGGCCAGCTGGTCTTTTTCACCAGACGCATATATCTTTTTCAAATATCAAAAGGTAGTAAAGCTATGCATGTAAAAGTCATAATAATGATAGTAATTATAAGTATTATAAGGGTAAGAATAATTTATATGATTCTTACTGACTGCCAAGCACTTGCTAAGCACTTCATGCACATTAACTCTTCAAAATCTCAGAATGCTATGCTGTACATATGATAAGAAGGGAGAACTTTCTTAGTTTAGAAAACTGAATTGCAGAAAGGTTAAGAAACTTGATTAAAGCAAATTAGTAATGGGCAGAACAGAAATTTAAACCTAACTCATCTTTCATACCTATGAAGATGCAAATAACTCAACCAAGTACATTTGTGTATAATATATTTGCCCTCTTGATGAATACTGAACCATAGTTAGAGCACCTTCTACCTGTTTCATGCAAAAGCATTGACATTATATGTGACTTGTATGTTCTACTTTGAAACCACACTTTTTTACTCTAAACATTATTTGAATAAGAACTTCCTAATAATTTGAGCAGTTATTTCAAAATATTTATGTACTATTACTACATAGATGAATTACTCCAGCTTAGCATCCAATTTTTAAAATTTTCAAACTCATGTGTGCATGACTAATTTCACCTTTTAGAATTATGACAACATTCATTCATATGCTCTTCTCTTTTGATTTTTGTACTTTGGTAGTTTTGGAAACATGATAAGATAGCTCGTAGTATAACTAATAGCTTCGTACACATAGCATATCTATACTCTTTCCACTTTTCCTCTAAACATCACCTTATCACAGTTTGTTCTTTATCCCCTGTCCACTTGCCATTATTTCCATCCAATGAAACTTATTTTTCTTCTCTCTCATCTTTGAATTTCCTTCCCTCCCTACCAGCATGAGAGTTACTTGAAAGCTCTTTGATCAGAATAAAAATTCCAATTATTTGATTCTTCCATTTATTTGGATTATAAAGACATACAGGGGTATATTTTGCAAAACAGTCTTGTCATCCTTGGCAGAAGATATGTCACTCTATTATAGCTTTGCCACGTGTCCATAGAGAAAGGTCATCTTATTTTAAACACATGTTCATATGCAACATGTGTAACAGAGATGTGAATTCTAAGGACACTGCAGAAAGCATAGCTGACTAGGGATTCTAGCACCTTCAGGATGTGTCTCCTCTTAGTTGTGACCACTGTAATGCACTTCATAAAGTAATAAATTGTTCTTGCCCTAGGATCAGGATTCCCATCTCTTCACTACAACATGTCAAGATGTAAGACATGTTTGCCCTTGTAAAATCAGTGATCCCAGTCTAGATGTCAAATACTTGCTTGTTCTGTGTATTAACTGACTTCTTTTCCTGGACCCGCAGGCTCTATCAGATCCTTCCCCTAAAATTCATACATCCCGCCTTGTTGCTATCCATGCCCCAGCATGTCAATGTCAAAGTAGTTAAGAAAAAGGCTCCAACTATTTTAGTATCTTAAATTTTATCTTTTCATTCTACAAAGAATGTTTTAATAAAAAGTTAAAATTTAAAACAAATTGATACTATTCAGTAAAATGTTGTTATAGATTCCAAGCAACTATCTCTTTTATAGGCAACATAATTACAAGTGAATTACAAATGCAGACTTTATGACTCTAATTAAACTCTAGGCCACAACCCATAAAAAAAAGAGTATACACATTAAGTTAGGTGTAAGAAAAAATAAATATGAATAAATATGCCACATAATGAGGCATAAGTTAATATGCCTCAAAATAAATGAGGAGAAACAATTTCAGATAATACATATATTTATGTAAAATTTTTATCAACATAACCTAAAATACTTTCTTTAATTTCATCAGAGATAAAATTTTTATACTTAATTTTCATATACATATACATCATACTTTCTCTCACTTACTTCATTACTTCATTCTACCCCAAGAACATCTTTGCAAGTATTTCCCAAGTGTGAGAGACTGGAGGAGGTTCTATATTTTGGTTGTAAGAATATATATTAATTTTTAGAACATTATAATTAAACTCAGAAATATTTAATTGTAGGGATTTTATTTCTTACGAATCAAATAAAATGACTAAAAATTAACTTGAGGCAAAACGAAATTTCAACATCATTGTAAAACTAATTAAGAGAGCAGATCTTTAAAAAAAAAAATGTAGCCGGGCGCGGTGGCTCTCGCCTATAATCCCAGCACTCTGGGAGGCCGAGGCGGGCGGATCACAAGGTCAGGAGATCGAGATCATCCTGGCTAACACGGTGAAACCCCGTCTCTACTAAAAATACAAAAAAGCCGGGCGAGGTGGTGGGCGCCTGTAGTCCCAGCTACTCGGGAGGCTGAGGCAGGAGAATGGCGTGAACCCGGAAGGTGGAGCTTGCAGTGAGCCGAGATAGCGCCACAGCACTCCAGCCTGGGCGACAGAGCGAGACTCGGTCTCAAAAAAAAAAAAAAAAAAAAAAAAAAAAAAAATGTAGTACATGATGGTTACACCTCGGTTTCCACACTTGGGAGACTCATTAACCACGTAAGTGTTTTCCCCGAAGTTTGTAAATGCTTAAAGATTGGGTTACATTATGAAAAGGACCTGTTGAATATTGTGTCTGTAAGGTTCAATTCTACCTAGTCCTCACTGCCATCTTTCATATCTTCTCTAGTGAAGAATGAAGAAATGAGAATTATGTGTTTGAATCTAGCACCTCTGATGTGGAAAAACACATGGTGAAGCAGAGGAAAGAAAACTGAAGGAAATTGAAAATATCCTCAGGAATACCTTGGGGGAAACAAACAGCATTTCAAATGAAAGATTAAGAACAAATTCAAACAAATGGATTTGAAGGTATTATGTAAAAGAAAATGAGATTATTTAGCACAGGTACTCTAAGAATTTGAGAAGTTCCTCATGTTTATGGGAGAAGGTAACATGGCTGATAGGAACATTTAAAGGTGGTACAGAAAGGAAATTCTCATCAGGAGGCCTATAGAACACACATGGGCAACAGCAAGCCCCCCTTGCCCTGCCTGGATCCATACAGAGGAAAGGAGAGGTAAAGATGAAAGAAAGAGGTTGAATAGAAGATATTAAATGCTTGAAAAATAATTTTAAAATAGTTATACTTCTGAGAAGATTTTCCATGTCTGGGTATAAGACACGGAGATACATCATACTGATCAACCTGAAGTAATCTACTTACTGAAATACCCACTTCTAGTTTATCTAGTTCACGCAAGGTTTCACAAAGCCACCAATGGTCTTATAAAAGCTTTCTAATTGAAATAGTCTTAAGTATCACATTTTACTAGTGGCAGGTATCTTCAAAAAAAAATACAAGCTAAGCAACTTGTCCTCTGTTATTTCCTACCACTAAGTTTGCATTAGAAGAGGCTGGCAGTCAAATACACAAGAAGAACCACAAGTGTTGGCAATTTAACAGAAACAAATGGTAGTGTGTCATGGACCCCTAAGGCTTGTTGGACTAAATCATACCCTCTTCTAGTAAGTCCTGAAAAGTATTTAAAACATATGTTGAAGAAAATAGCTTTTAGAGGGGCAGATAACAGACGTTGGACTTAGAAATTAAAAAAATCCATTGTGCATTCTTTTGGCTTCTAGTTCTACTCAGTGTTTTGCTATGAGCTATGATTTGTTTGTGGAAGTAAAGTAAAGGCAGCCTATCTTACCGCCTCCACTTCAGCTGGGTCATACCAGACGTTGATGTAGGGATGCTGTAAGGCGTCGTCCACTGATATTCTTTTTGCTGGGTCAATCACTAGCATCTTTGACAACAAGTCCCTGGCTTGGCTGGCTGAAACAATAAATGAGAGAAACAACTAGTAAGATTTTGATTTCAGTAAGGAAATTTGTTGGACAGAGAGGAAATTAAGAAAATAAAGTATGGGATAGTATCTTCCTTCCAAACATCAGGTAAATCCCTTGATGTGATGGAAAAGAAAATGCATTTTATACCTGTTTCTTTGGGTCTCTAAGCCTAAGGCCTCTAAGCCTGAGGCTCTCCAACGGTTATAACACTTTGAGTATATAATTATTCACTCAAACTTCTAAGTAAAATGTATCAACCTGGAGAGTTTATGTAAGCAAAATCATCTTCTTTGGTAACCTGTATGAATATGGGATAAACAGCACAAAGAGCACAGAGTGCAAATGCATGATATTCAACAAATGTCTGGGCAGCTGTTTGAAGTTAATCAACACATGTGTCTTTATATTCTCATTCATACAATGGAATTATCAGGATTTTAGTATACAAATTGACTTAAGAGTTGGTATCATACAAATTTCTTTTCTTTTTCTTTTTGTTTGTTTATTTGTTTGTTTATGTATTTTTGAGACAGGGTATCCCTCTGTTGCCAGGCTGGAGTGCAGTGGAATGATCGCAGCTCACTGCAGCCTGTAACTCCTGGGCTCAAAGGATCCTCCCATCTCAGCTTCCTGAGTAACTGGAACTACAGGCATGCACCACCATGCCCGGCTATTTTTTCTCATTTTTTGTAAAGATAAGGTCTCCCTACATTGCCCAAGCTGATCTCGAGCTCTGGGCTCAAAGGATCCTCCCACCTCAGCCTCCCAAAATGCTGGGATTAAAGGAATGAGCCACTGCTCCCAGCCACAAATTTCTTATATACATAAAAACAACCAAAGAATTGATGTGATAGAAAAAAAACTATTCAATTACTGAATTTTATTTTAACATTCTGTAATCATCAGGTATTTTTAATCAATGGAATTAAATAAATGGAAGTCATGACTTGATGAAATCCAGCAGCTAAAGACTGAAGCCAGTCTAATGCTACACCAGACACTAATGAAAAACTCTATATTATGTAAATGCTATCATAATTAATTTTATGGTTGTGGGCAGTAACAGTTATAAAATTATATGGTGATAGCATATTTATTTAATAACATTATTAAAAGACACATTAATTTTAACCTCTAAAAACATGTACATTTTTTATTATTATACTTTAAGTTCTGGGATGCATGTGCACAACATGCACATAGTTATACATAGGTATACACATGTTACATAGGTATACACGTGCCACGGTGGTTTGCTGCACCCATCAACCTGTCATCTACATTAGGTATTTCTCCTAATACTATCCCTCCCCCAGGCTTTTACAAAAAGTTTTAACAGAAATGAATATCTCAAATCAATATTGTTACTCAACTGATTTGAAAGTTGAATGGTGAAAATATTCAGTTTATTCTAAATACATGGTAAAACATCAAATTAAAGAGAACAAAATTTAAATGGATTTTTCAAAAAATCAACATAGATGACTGTGGATATGTATCAATTTTTATTTAATCAGTTTTTCAGATTAAGACAATTTGACTAATTCTACAAATTTGAAAATTACATAAAATATAAAAATCAGGAAATAATATCTAACCCCACTAGTTAGAGGCAATGACTGTGATTATTGGCATATTTTTTCTAGTGCTGTTCATGTATTTTTCACATATTAACCATACTACAGTTAAAATGTAGTAATTAATTTTTTACCTGTAGGTATTTTCTTTTAGTAATTACATGAATAAATATATCTTTTAATTTTCTGAACAAATATGAAAAATCACTAGTTAAATCAACCTTGAGAACTTTTTATTTCTATTATCCATTTTTCTGGGAAACTCAATCCTAGAAACTTATTATCATTACTTTCAAATTAAAACTCTGAACTGCACAAGAACAACAAAAATACAGAAATACTTATACATTCATTCAATATTTAATTTTTCTCATTGCCAATGGCCTCCTAATAGCCTAACAGGGCTGTGTTTATTTATTCATTGCTTTAAAGATCTCTTTAATTTGTAACTGATTTTATATCCAAATTCATGTACCATTCTCATGGATTCTCTCATCAAATCTATCCATTTTTCTGCTCTTAGAAAGGGCTGGGGTTAGTCGGGTGTGGTGGTGGCTCACATCTGCAATCCCAGCACTTTGGGAGGCTGAGGCAGGCAGATCACAAGGTCAGGAGATGGAGACCATCCTGGCTACCACGGTGAAACCCCATCTCTACTAAAAATACAAAAATTAGCTGGGCTTGGTGGCGGGCGCCTGTAGTCCCAGCTACTCGGGAGGCTGAGGCAGGAGAATGCAGTGAACCCGGGAGGCGGAGCTGGCAGTGAGCCTAGATAGCTCAGCCGGGGCAACAGAGAGAGACTCTGTCTCGAAAAGAAAAAAAGAAAAGAAAGGACTGGGGTTAGAATGGGCTATTCATGAATAGGGTCATGAACTATACCAATACCAAATCATCTTGCTAAGAAACAATAATCAATACTATTTTTAGGAAACAATATGGAAAAATGTTTCAATGCCTTATCTTTCATTCTATCATTTGAAAGCAAATGTGTTATGCTCTTTTCCAAACACAGTAGAATACATTATTCTCTTTGGTTATTTGTATATTAAGATTATTTATAGATTTTCAATTTTATATTTAAAATTAAAATCAATAATCGAATATGCAAACTAGTTTATCATTTACAAAAATAATTGCAGAAATTCAAATTGATTTAAAAAGTAAACTCAAGAAAATTGGAATTACCTTATGAAGTATATCTTAATAGCCTTTTTATTGTGATTTCATACAGTAGTTTAATGAGAACTTTGTTGTCTCTGTATTGCTGCAAGTGTCTTCAAAAGAAGGGATTACTTTTGCTTGATATCTCAATAGTATTACAAAGACATGATTTCTATAAGATCTTTAATTGGAGTATTAGCTCTTTTTCAATCTGGATATAGGCAATGTTGATCTTATCAGCAGTAGATTTAGAAATAATTTAGTCCATTGTCAGTAAGAGAGTCTATAGAGGCAATTGAAGGAAGAAATCCAACTGTGTAATATGTGTCAAGAGCACAGAAACAGTGTTGCACATTTAAAACCCATTAGATAAAAGTTTAGAGGATATGAAAACATCCTGGAAAACAGTGGCACCACATTTTAGCTTCCTCATCTCATTTAAGTCTTCCTTAGCTATACACATTAAGTTTGTAAGTTAAGTCTGCAGATAATTAATCGTCCACATAACATTTAGGGCTAAATTTAAAAAGCATGTATCTTAAGTTTTTCTTTTTTGATAATTTACAGGTACATTTTTAAATTATTATTTTATTATATTTAACAGTTACTGAGCATCCACAGTGAGCCAGGCACTGCTCTAAGTGTTTGACAAATTATTAAGTCAATTAATCCTCCCAACAGCCCTATAAGGTGGAAAGTTTTCTCTACGTTCATTTGTTAAAACAAGGAAAGAAAAATTAGGTAACTTGCTCAGGGTCACACAGATTTTAAGGCATGGGGCAAATTTGAAACGAGGCAGGGGGAAAACAGTCAGATTTATTTCAAAATAAGATTTTTAGGAGTGTTCTAAATTATAAGAATTTGAGTATTATTTATATTACACTTTATGCATTGCCAAATTTATTCCATGTCTCCAAATTAGACTGAGGCATTATTAAGTCAATTCTGTTGGTGAAGATATTTGTTACTCAAGTATATTAACTGCCAACAACATGACAGAAAAAAACGACTTATTAATGGAAGTGTTTATACTGAATAAAAATATGTACGTAAAATCTCATTTGCTATTTTAAAATGAAAAAATTTAAGCACTCCATAAATTATAGAAAAAGAAGTTCAGACACCTGCATCTCCAAGATTTTATAATTAAACCTTGCATTGAAAATATTTTCCAGGCAATAAAAAGGATTGGAACAATGATTTCAATGTATATTATGTTGGTTTTTTAGAGTTATATCTCAAAAAATAATTTTAAGATTCTATGTAACCCCCCGTGAAATACTTAGGGCACACCATTGTCACACATTTTATTCAATAACTTCTCTCTGAATATCCAGACAGTTCTTTTTTTTTTTTCTTTTTTTTTTTTTTTTTTGAGACGGAGTCTCCTCACTCTATCGCCAGGTTGGAGTGCAGTTGTGCGATCTCGGCTCACTGCAACCTCTGCCTCCCAGGTTCAAGCGACTCTCCTGCATCAGCCTCCCGAGTAGCTGGGACTACAGGTGCACGCTACCACCTCCAGCTAATTTTTTTGTATTTTTAGGAGAGACAGGGTTTCACCATGTTGGCCAGGATGGTCTGTCTCGATCTCCTGACCTCTTGATCCGCCCGCCTTGGCCTTCCGAAGTGCTGGGATTACAGGCTTGAGCCACCGCGCCCCGCCCTGAATATCCAGACAATTCTAAAATCCGTGGCTACTCCCCTTTGTAGGAACGATCTTCGAAGAAATATCTTTCTTTAACTTGAGGTTGTGCCAATTAAAGAATTGATCGATGTTTTAGGTGATGTGTTATGCTAATTGTTCTGATTTGACCATTATACCTCCATACACGTTTCAAAATAACCCCTATATCCCACAAAAATGTACTATTATCATGTGTCAACTAAAAATAAAAGGAAAGAAAGAGAAAGAGAGAGAGGTCTCTCTACCGTGTGCTTGTTTGACCCGTCACCCTCATAGTCGTCCTCAAGTCATTCCTGAAGGGCATACCTTTGAGTTTATTGTGCTCGGAGTCCGCTGGGAAGAGGGAATCTGGGAAGAGCTTGGGGAAGGTGAGTCCCGCATACTTGGGCCGATTCTCCACATAGTTTCTTACTGTGGGTTGCAATTTCTTCATGAATTCCGGACATGGTGTTCCTAGTTGTTCAATTACCTTATTCCACTGGTCAATATCTGAGAATTGAACAGTTAAGGGAAAAAAGAAGTGCAGACCACTAGCCTTTCAACAATTGGGAGACTAATGCTTCTCAAAGTCCTGAACAGTCATTAATTAATGCAACTAGAGTTTTAATAAGCAACAAAGAATGAAAATATAAAAGCAGATATGTCAGGCTATGAGTCTTCTTCAAATTTTAAATTCACTTTTGAAACTTATATACTTGCTAGGCTGGAACAAATCAGGCTATTTCGGTATGTCACTTCCTTTTTCTATCTAAAAATATGGACTGCCCACATTGCCAGGTAGAGTCTTCTGAACCTTTACTGGTGCAGGGTACTGCCCAATTCATGAATCATTTGTTTGCTCAAATAAATTATGCTAAACTTAAAAAAAAAAAAAGAAACTTATATACTTTTGGAAAACTAGCAATTATTTAACAAAATAAGATATCATGAAATAGTCTTTAGGGTGTACAGATAAAAAGTCATTCAAATAACAAGATGAATCTCATATTCTGCAGATTAACTTCTATATAATCGTGTGTTTTAGAACATCATAGTGACATTTTTATTCTGAAGTTACCTCAAACATTTATATTTTTAAAATGATAAGTACACAAATATTTTAGATTACATTCATTTACATTTTCTTAAATTACCTTTAAGATATTTTTTCTTCTCTAAAAATCTGGAATTTTTTTCTATGCATTATGCATGTCAATATAACTTTTATAGTAAAACAACTCATTAGTTCTTTGTCAAATTCCTAAAAATCATATTTATTAAACAAAGAAGCCACCAATTTCATACCTATTGTTTTACTGCTGACATCACGGAATATTGTTTTCAATGAAATAAGAGGGTGAACAGAGGAATGTTCAATTTAAAACAACAGATTTCTGTCCAAGTACATTCAAGTTTAGAAAGTACATTAAGCATGGTGAATACCACAGAAAAAATATTACCTCTCTATGAAAATTAATACCCTTTTAAATTGGAACTAGCTCTTTTGGCAGACATACTCAATGACTGAGATTCTATTTTTCATCTGTCATTAATATTCAATATATCAGAGCCTCGATAATGATAAACACCATCTACTCTGAAGAACCAACTGGAAACGACTGATTCAAACAGATTTCCTCACATGTGTCAGTGAGTAATAGAGACCTTGGAAATTCCCCCTAAATCCAGTACGGCAAGCAGTATTCTCTCCTACATTGCTTATTCTTCTACAACTCTGTTCTTCGGTGTTAAGTTAGTTAATTCATTTCCACTAAGGTAAGGTGTGACAGTTAAGGGACTCTTACCATAATACTTAGTTGAAGTTTGTCAAATCTTTACTCCTAGCTATTCAAGAGGTTTGGACTGAAGATTGTCAGTCCTGATTAAAGATAAACTTAACTGTATTTAACAAAAATAAATATGTAATACAAACACAGTAGATAGGAGATTGAACAAAGATAAATCAAACTAATGTGCAAATTCTCTTCTTCCTCCCTATAATCTGGCTGAATAAAACTTAAATTACTACATATCCTCTCAGTTATTGGAATAAAAAATATATAACTATGGACTGTCAAGATATGAAATGAATGTGGGAAAAACAATAATACTCCTTTATAAAGCAGCAGCAATCATTAAACAAGAACATGCTTGGATAGAAGCTCATCTAATTATCATGTACATGAGAAAATACAGTGGCAATTCAGAATCCCTAGAAATAACGAAACTAAAACATTATATAAGGTTAGAGTTACAAATTACTCTTAGACAAGAGCCTGTGTTAATACTATGGATATAGGTAAGCTGTAAGTACTTAGACATATTTAAATAGAATACATTAGTGTAGTTAAATAAAACCTAAGTGCTTGTCATTATAAATTATGAAGAGACATTTTTTAACGGTTAAGTTAGCATGCCCTACCAAGTTATCATTTCATCATTGGTCAAACTTCCTCAAAATTCTAACCACTTGATGTCAAGCTTAAAATAGAGGCAAAGAAGATGTCAGGTTTTCTGTAAATAAGTCATTTAACAAAGTTGGCAAAATAATCCCAATACAGTATTATATCCTAATTACATTTGCTAGAATTATAAAGATACACTGTAAAGAATTGCTTTTAAAGAAGTATTCCCAAACAACAAAAAAATTGATAATTTATATTAAAGTTTAAGGAGAATCAGATATTCTGGAATTTGTTAAATAAGAATTGTTAAAATGTTGCTTTTAATAAATCATAATTCGAGTCTAGAGACACAGTGCTCTTTCCTACCTTAGGTTGCTTTTAAATGAAACACTGTTGTGATTCTTGATGCAATGGTTTACAAGGTGGCAAGAATCTTTATCATTGTCAATGAAATAGTTAAAATGTTCATATTGCAAATCTGAGTTACAGTGATCTTTAAAAGTCTGTGTCTTTATTTTAACCAGTCCATTTCAAGATTTTTCTTCCCATAAACATATGTGTGTGTGTATCTACATATGGTAAGTACTTGTTTTCAGTTGTTCATAGAATATGAACATGAACAACTATGCCCAATTTAGTTGAGCACATAATTTTTCTTTATAATAATAATTAACCTAACATAAGGCAAGACTGGAAGTCGTACCTCCTGTTTCCATGTTTAGTGCTTGTTTCAAGTATTCCATTAAGAAAAAAGAGTAAATTTGGAATTGATATGGTAAAAAATTGCTTTAATTTGGCCATAAAATTAACTGTGTGTTTCATCACAAGCAATTCCCTTAAAGAATGTTTCTGAAGCCCCTTCCTTAGTCTATCAGGCTGACATATTCCTGTAAAACAATAAATTTTATTAATATTTTATATAGAAAATAAGGTGATCCTTTAAATGGGAAAACAGATTTCCACAATGATTACATTTTAAAAATACACAAAATATTAACTATATTTTATGATTATGTATTAATTGTTAACATGGTAAATATGTTTTTAAAGAATGACCAAAACCATTTTTGTAGAATAATTTATTTGCTTTAGAATACCCATAAATGACCATTTTTATACCACATAGAGTGAGGATTTACAGATCTTAGCCCTGTGAAGTTATCAGAAAAGCAATAAGTATATTTGTTTTTATATTTTTGATGTACTGTTTTAGAAATTATCACCCTTAACATAAATTATGAAATGTATTGAATACAAATGGAAAAATGGCATTTAATAAGAATTATTTGACAGTAAATCACCGGATATAAGTCTAAATTGACTACATAAAAGTAGAGTTATATTGCAAGAAGTTCAATTTTATAAGTAGGGCATGATGTCAAGATAATGTACAAATGTGATAATTACTAAGGTCTTCAATAAATACTATTATAATAGGAGAATAAAACAAAGTAAATATGAATAGCAAAAATTAGTATCTGAAATCCTAAGATTGAAAATTTTTCCAATTAATATTATCAATTAGCTATTAACCTACGTTTCAAGCACTTCTCTTACTTTAGCTTCCTTTGTTAGGGAACTTTCTAAAACAATAATGCCTTAAACATAATGTATGAAAAGGTCAATTTTTGGGCCTCTCATTTGCACAGGCCCCTTTTAAGACTAATCCTTTTCTGCGTATTGTGGGCATAATTATGAACATAATTTGTGCCATCCATATTTAAGCCTTCAGAACTTACGAAGTGGAATCATAAGGAACTATTTAATGGCCTCATCCAACTGTCTCCTTTGAATGACTATATTTTCTGTTTATGTTTTTTTCTATCATTGATTGCTTTTTGTTACTATGAATGTGATTTCCAGAGCTGACAACTCATAGTTTCTGACTTGCTTTCTGCTCTGCTCTAGGCCTTATATCAATACTTTGTGCAGAAATTTTCTGACTTCTCTTTGCAATTTAAAGAACATCAGTGTTTATCTCTAAATTCTTAGCTGTGTTCCTAAAGACAATATTGCCTAATAGCAATGTAGGTATAGAATAGTTCCAGGAGAGGCTTTTATCATGCACGCCAACAGCTCTTTAGGCACAATGTTGAGTAAGCTTGTGTGGCTTTATATTAGCTCGGTAGGAAAGACTTCTGTGATCAATTAGTAATGTCTGCAACAGATGCACAATAAGGAAACTGAAGCACATGTCCCATGTGTTAGGTGTCATTACATTAAACTGTGTTTCCCAAACTCAAATACTCGTAACGTAGGGAACTTATAAAAACACATATCCCTCCTTCCTACTCATCTACAAGATTCTGAGTCCACAGGTCTGGGCTGATATCATAAAAAACATCAGTGGTAATTGTAATCAAGGATGGGATTATATTTTGAGAAATGCTCACGTAGAATATACGAAAAAGTCTCTTGTGAGTTACTAAGTCTAGATGTTCTAAGAGTAAAATACTAACATGTTTCAGTTTTATGACACAAATTAGAATAGGATCAAATTCACCAAAAGATTATTCCACACCTGTTTGTTACTGAAAACTTGGGGGTCAATCACCTGAGAATACTCGGAGAAAGAAAAGTGCTAATCTTTACTTCTTTGACCCATGTAATTTTCCTGCAAAGGCCATGGGAAGTTATAGTAAGTGGCACACGTACGCTCCCAGGAGAGGGAGAAGAATTCTGCCCCTCATCATCTGTGGGAGAACTGAAATTGTATGCTGCTATTACCTGGGGAGTACTACCCATGGAAAGTTTTAATTATAGTTCTTTGTGATTAAATTTGTTAAAAGAATTTTTTTCTAAAAACATTTACAAAGAAATACATATATATATATACACACACACACACAAACATATGATAGAGTTCTGAATCTAGATTTTCATGGTTATGTGTTTAAAATTGTTTTGTTTCTTTAAAAATGTTTTTAGGGGCAGGCACAGAGGCTTATGCCTGTAATCCCAGCACTTTGGGAGGCCAAGGCAGGAGGATCACCTGAGGCTAGGAGTTTAAGACCAGCCTGACCAACATAGAGAAACCCCTTCTCTACTAAAAATACAAAGTTAGCTGGGCATGGTGGTGCATGCTTGTAATCCCAGCTACTCAGG